CCTCTTCAAAATGCCTGCTGCCGCCTTCCATCCCAACACAAACATTACTGCTTTGCACGGTGGAGCCCATGTAGTCACCGTCCAGGCTGCCACGTTCCTCAGGACGCATCAATGGTTTATCCACAAAGTGCCCCAAAAGGTACAGTTACCTGACAGAGGTGTCCGCCAAAAGCCATCCGAACACCTTATTTATTTTAGACAGGAAAGAGTCCCAGTACCTGGAAGTCACCAGTGTGCTTTCTTCCCGTCATCCCGCAAGGGATCCCAGCTTCAGCAGCAGTATCGACAGGCTGGAGGCGTGCACCGCAGGCAATCCAGCTGAGTGACATCCGGAACTTCACAGACCGACAGAGTTGAGATAAGAACAGGAAAACAATACAAAAGTGTTCATTTGCTTAAGTACCAGATTTCATTCAGTAAGGAGTGCGGGTTTTTTTTGATAAAACCACCCATATTCACATCAATTTATAGAGTACCAGTGTAAAAAAACAACAAAAAAAAGATGGGTGGTGACTTCCACCTGCATATTTGCACTTGCATATCTACATAATGCGATTGTATCATACACCCGTGGTCTCAGGAGTAACAAATCTGTGTTACCAGCCCGTACCATCACCACAAAGACATTCCAGAATTATTTTTAACAGCTTACAACATGGTTCAGAAATGGAAGCCTTAGAAAAACAAAACTTCCCCTTTATTTATATTGCACCTTTTTCACAAATAGCTACACAGCAGAAGTTTCTTCTGCTGCGAAATGCTACATTAGAAAAATGTGGGTTTGAACACACATTAGAAAGAAAGGTCTTGAGCTTCAGGAATCATCATGAGTTAACCCCAAATTACCAACACTATTTTTACAAATCACTGTATACCTACAAAGCCTAAGTATTGCCTCAATTTTATTTAGCATTCAGGTATTTAAAAAACACAAGCATTTTACCAGATGATAAAGATGCTCTAATCACTACTGGGTACTAAAATTGAATCTGCAAGGGAAATATTTTCAAGAGATCTTCAAAGCACCAAATACTCTACAGAGCTATCAACAGAAAACCCACATGTAGTGGGGAGAGATTGGTTTCTTTCACACTGGTATTTCTAGAATTATCCAGGACTGTTTTGGGAAGAATTTCCCAATTTCGTGACATATTTACATGTATGTTAGAAATGCACAATGGAAATCAAAACATTTATAAGGATACCAGCGACTAGTGTCCTAATACTAGTTATGGCATCCAAATCATCGTAGTTTCAGTCTGCATAACCATCCGGTGAGGTATCACATCCATATAACAAAACATTAACCTCATTTCTCACAAGAGGCCATTACTACTGATGTATGGCACTCCCAAAGCTTCCTGTAAGGAAAAAACCCAAACCAATCCTCTTCACTTTGATTTAATAACAGGATCATTATACACGATTGTCTAGATATGCCCTTTTTATTCCAGTGTTTCCATACTTTTCTACAGACCTATGTACATAGTTAAATACGTCATTAATTTACAAACCATGTTAAAACAAATGTTTCACCTTGCCAAACAAAATCTCGCAGCGGTCCAAGATTAAAATATATATTACAACAGTATCAGAAACTTCCTTTACCTGAATGTGGGCAATATTGCTTAAGGACTCAGATTCAGGTACTCAGCAAAACCACCTCTTGTAACCGATTCACTTAACCATTTTAATTATATGTTCTACCACACAAAATTATCCCTGTTGACCACAGACCTGAACTACAAGAGCAGGAACACTGTCAGGCAGTCTCCAGGGAAGAGATTCACTCTCCAGGCCCTAAACGGATGATATCGTCATTTTGGGTCAGTCCCTTCTTGCTCTGCAAGTACAGTAGTTTTGTTTCAGAGACACAGCGAGGCCACAAGCCCAGACCGCAATTTGGGACAGGGTATTTTCAACAGAAAGCCCTCACCTGCTACCGTACTCTTGACAGAAAAAGCTGAGCTAAAGACCTGCCACAGTAAGTGCGCAGTGCAAGCTTTCTCTGAAAACAGTTGCAAAAAAGATCTGGTTATGTTCTTTAAAAGGAAACCATGTAAATATATGTAATAAAGCCTCTGATCTGTGAATAAAGTACGCGGAGCTTTATTCCAAGTAACAGTTCGAGTTGTATGAAGATGGTACAGTGGTAGACATACCAGAAGACATACAGATGAACTCATGGTACGCCTGTACATTCCTGGGGCCCCCACTTACTTTTTTCTGCTATTTCACTCCACATGAAGCAGGAAAGAATAATCTCCATCTTCCAAACGGGAAACTGAGGCACAAAGGACACAATTAAGCGTTTGCAAGAGTCTAACAGTTTACAGCTAGCTCCCTTTAAAAGAAGTTGGAGAACTTCAGCCCCTCTTAAAAATCTCAGCCTAAATCTCTCAACCTCAAATCAGCCTTTTGCAGAGCCAGAACCTAATCCAAATCCAGAGTCCACACAATCCTTTTTACATGGATGTAAAAGCACTTAAATGTTGGGAAGTGAGCCTTAGAAACATTTTGCACTTTCCCATATTAAAAAGAAATAATTATACATAAATTAATACTGGAACAGGCAAAAGAAATTTCATCTGAAAGAATGCTTTTCCTCATTATCTCGTTCTTTTTAACCTGGGTTAGGGAATAACTTATTTAGATTTTCTAAACTAAAAGCCCAAGTTCTAAGCTAGCATTCAACTAGATTCAGCTCCAGTCAAGTCAAGGAAGTTCTGCTCACAAATATTAGCAGCATATTTAACCCATCTCTGAAGTTTCAGAAGGACCATTTCCTCTTTTGGACTGTATGGGGAAGACAGTCTACATAACTACCTCCACAGTCAGCCAAAAGAATAAGATCAGGTTGACTTTGCACTTAAAAATAAATTCTTTATTATCCAGAAAGGAGCCAAATCATCACCTCACATCACAGAAATGGTCATTTTTAAAGCAATAAATAAGTGGAGGGAGTGTTCTGTACCACACCCTAAATTTTGTCACTGGTATCTAATACCTCTCTAGTAAAAACATAATACTTATGCTATCAAAAATCTCACTGTACAACAGCTTTTCTGTTAAGGGAAGAAGGCCCCTAAAATCTTCTTTTGCTAAAGTAGTAACAAGAACAATCTGATTCAGTGAAATCCAAGTTCAACTGGTTTCATTCCTTTCATGCACAAATGCAGTATCCGACGCACAACAATCAACTTGTCTACAATTAGGTACGTTGATTTATACTAACTGAATCAGTTCTTCTTAAGCATCAATTATCTATTTACTGCTGATTCAAATAATTTTTTCTTAACAATTTACTATTTGAGCTAGGGGAGTTGCAGGAACAGAGCAGGATACAAAATTTAACTTCTTCCAGCAGAAAGTGGAAATCAGGCTAAATGCACACAGCAACTCCAACAGCAGCAATTAAGAAACTTAAAAAAAAAAAACAATTAGGGGCTAAAAAGATAGACAATTAAGAATTATGATTATTCAAATTAATGTATTCATAATATATTAATCATATAAGAGAGCATAATTTATGCATAAAACTTAGAAGAAAACACCTTAAACCTTTCAATTTCTAAAGCAACAAGAGTTTTATAAGAACAGGTGTGAAGCAAGTAAAAAAAAAAAAATTGTATTATTCCAAACACTTTATTTGTGACGGTGTTTTCTGTATTGCCAAGGAAGAGCAATGTCTGAAGTTACAGGACGACATTATTCAGAAAAGAATTATGATCTTAAGCTCTGTTTGTTTGTTATCTACAGTGACTGGGACAACAGTGATTTTAGAGAATTCCATTTCTCTATGCCTGACGTACACTTCTTGAAGAGATTAATCTTTCTACTGTCTACTCTTTCAGAAACACTTCTGGTTCATCATCAAAAACTGAAGGCATAGGCACAAAAGTAACGTGAAGTCTCGTAGTTGCTCGAGATGAATTCAGGTCTACCTATCTGCAACTGATATACACAAGTCAATCCTCCTCAAACAGACAAGTCCTGATAACCAGAAGCAGGCCTTAGTTTCACTTCTTTCTGAAAGTTTCACCTAAGTATCATTAAAACGTATCAGAGAACAAATGAAAGGAGACGTTACCAGCGTGGAAACAAAATACTGGCCAGAATTTAGCTGCCAAGAGAATAATTAGTTGACAGACTCTGAAAAGGAGCAGTGACAGCAGATATTTTACTCTGAAGTTTTGTACGTGCATTTCACCAGAGTCTCTGTACAAGAGCTACACTGTGCATTTAGTTCCAGTGTCAGATCTAGCTGTTTCGCGTTTAAAGGTCTGCTTAGCAGAAGTTGAAGGTCTGTACCACTTTCACTACACATGCATCTTCCCTTCTGCAAAAACTGTACAATAAAATGGCTTTACATTCATGGATGTACTAAAAGTTTCTGATAATGTTGGGGACACTTTGATATCACAGTCTGTACCTGTTTGCCAGGATTCTATATATCAAAACGATTTAAGTTGTAGGTAGTTGGATAGTTTTGCCTATTATACTGGAAGTGGTCTGTTAAGATATTGGTTCGACCATACTGATAGTCTCCATGTTGTGCAAATGCCGTAAGTCCGTTTTGAGACTTTTCAGGAGTGTTTCGATGCCGGTCCAAATTCACAAGGTCTCCAGTTGTAACTGGAAGTAGCTGCTTCTTTGCTTCTTGGTTTGCATCATATTTTGTCTAGGAAAGAAAGAAAGAAAGAACGTTTTTCTTAGATACCACCTAACATATTCATATATCTAGAAAAAAGCACACCGTTTTACAATTACACTACTATGTAGGCCTGTTAGAGTCTTAAAATATCAGTGACTCCTAATAAAACCTCATTCCTCTCATATGCCAAATCAGTAAGCTGCTCTTTTGCTCAAGAGATTTGAGTGCGTTACTTCCCAATCTTAACTTTCCAAGAAAATACTAAGATCGAAATTTAAGTTTGTTAAAGACCTACAGCTGGCCTGACCCAAGCACTCGAGTACTTCACTTAGGTGATACACGTACCTCCTCCGCAATGAGGTTTTATGCCACGCATTCTACATTTTTGTTCTGCTAGCTGTTAACTTGTTGTACAGAAAATCATTCAAAGCTACAGGACTGTTTCAAGTGAGTTTCCTGAAAAATGAACAAACAAATAAGCCCCTTACCTTGTTATATAAGAAGACCCCTAAGATAGCCGTCATCATTCCAAGGACATTGGTGCTCGTAACCGGATTGCGAAGCATTATAAGGGATACCGTGATGACCATGATTCTTTTTGTGGCATTTGCGACAGAGTAACTTAGTGGGCTGATCAGGTTAAGAATACTGAAGGCAATGACATTCTGGGCAAAATTACAGAATCCACTGATTATAAGCAGCATCAAGGTCCAGGACCAATGAGACATTGTGCTCTGTTATAAAGACAAACATTACAAGAAAAAAAAAAAAAAAAGATCTCAGGTTTCAGATAAGAGATAAATACAGCCTGAGTCACTTCTCACCTGCCTTTGATAGGAAGAACATCTGCAGTTTAATTCTAAAGAGGCACCCAAGTATGTTACATTATGCAACTACCAACTCTGAGAAAACATTTCTCTACATACTCCTAACACGTTCTGGGTACGTTTGTTCCTGTCTCCAGCTATTAATTCCTGAGATTTACACTGTCACATAAGCTACCTCTCCTAACCCTCACATGAATTCTCACAATAAATACTATGCCTGGTTTTTTATATTGTTTTGTGAAACAATTTGCAGGTATTTCACAACAGTTCCTTCCATGCTGATGAGGAACTACACTGAAACACTTAAATGCACTTTTTTGGTATGGATGGTGTCATTTGTTTGTTTTTTTTTTTTTTTCTTTTTTTCTTAATAGCGAACAGCTTCCCAAATACAATACTTACCAAGTCATTCTCTACTAAGAAGGAAGAAAGATCTACCAAAACCCACGTTGGGATCATGAAGAACACAGCATGGCACCCAAGTATGTTCAACAACCGAAGATGATGTATTCGGGAATCTCTTAACACCTGACAAAAAACATCATTAAACAGCCTTTCTTCAGCTACTGCCCACATTATTGGCAGAGATTCAGGAGCCGTGCAACAGTAACAACTTTAGACGACAGATAAATTACGAACATAAGTAAATACTGTTATAGTATGAATTTCCTTCAAGGATGACCAAGAAAAACAGATGTCCATTTGAAAAACAATGGTTTCTTGAGTGGTGACTCTCAGTTTTAACAAGATAGTAACACATTTAAAATGCTCTACAAACCAGAAATCATTTTGTAACTAAATAGACTCAAGACATACATTTTAACTTTGTTTCTAAGATTTCAAGGAGTGCGTAGTGTTGACACTGACTCATTCACTACAGAGAAAGGATTTGATACAGCAAGATACATTAAAAGCTTTCAAATGAACTGTTAAATTTACACGCTATCGAACCGTCAGCAGAAAAAAAAAAAAATCCGTGCCAAGGAATAAAGAAAAGGCTCAGGATAAACTCCGAATTCTGCACAATTTTCAGTGTAACAACTTCGACAGGTAGGAAGAGCTGTAGAGAACAGGCGTGCAAAAAAGCCAACCATTGCTTTGGGCTCCTCTGACTAAAAAGTCAACTTACAAAAAAAAAAGAAGTACTGGAAAATACACACTATCCTGCTAAAGGATGATGCTACTGACCAATATTTTGAACAGCAAAACTATTACCTTCTTTGAGAAGATGTTCTGAAGTGAAAAACACAGAGTAGCAGCAAGCGCACTGATGAGTCCCCACATGTCAAAGGAAAGTTCCGTGACGGTGGCCAACAGGACACCAGTTATTATGGGGATCAGAGACAAGTACACCTGAAAGAGGAATAGAGAGGAATAGCTTACATCTCCTAAGAAGTCTCACTTCAACTGAGTTTATACATACCGCTGATCTGGGGAGCAAAGGACAAGGAAAAATAAAGCAACAGAACCAGGAATCAACTTTTATACTATTGTACTTTGAGAAAATTAAGTGACTACAACACACATTATAACAACTCCAGTGTATCAGAGAGCATCACCTTGCTCAATGTTTAGACGTGTTTTCTTTACATTCACAATAACAGGAAAAGGAACTTGTAAAATCTGCACAATCTAATTTCAATCACAAAATTCACCCAGCTAACCAAAGCCTGAGCTTTCCTGACCCCAGCCAGCAGAGCACACCACGAACACCACCAAGAGAAGAAACCTCAGCAAACCTGTCCGCACCTTCGTCGTCTGCTTCTCCTTCATTATGATCCGCGAAAGAAGAACCACCCATATTGGCATCGTCGCTTTTACTGAGAACGGAAAGAAAACATCGGTGGGAATGCAAAGCTCGGGCCAACTCCGTTAACCACCATCAGCAGAGGGTGAGCGCTGGGGATGGAGGAGGGGCTCAGGTCCGGTCCCACCAAAGCCATAACCACAGCCCACGCTGGGTCATCCCTCCTTGTCGCTGTGCTGGGTACGCGTACGAACACGGGCTGGTTCTGGTGCTGTGGGACGCCGCGCGGGGCAGCCGCACAAGCACACACTGGGCTGCAGGTCACTGCACCAGGCGCTGGTACAACCATGCGCTGGGGACCAGGACACCGCACTGGGCACCCATACGAGCACACCCCGGGCTTCAGGTCACCCCACTGGGCACCAGTGCAAGCAAACACTGGGTACCAGTACAAGCCAACGCTGGGCCCCAGGACATCACACCAGGCAACGTACGAGCACACACCGGGCTTCAGGTCACTGCACCGGGCCCCCACACGAGCACCCACCGGGCTCCAGGACACCCCGCCGGGCACCCCACA